TCTAGACATATGTACCTACAACACGGGTGCGTAGGTATACTGCATCACACATGCAGAGACAGGCAGACAGACAGAAATACAGAGACTAGACCAGAGTAAGTAAGTGAGCAAGTTTAAAATGCTCTTTTGTGTGCGACTCCTCGGAACACTCTCTTCTAGCCACCCCTGCTCCCTCTGCTGGGAAAGACTGGCTTTTTAAGGGTATACATGTAGGAATTTGTGTCACCTCCTTTTTCTTTACCTTAAGTGTCTTCTATACTTCTTTGTCATCGTCCTATTTTGGAATGAGGTATTCTCCGACTGACAGTCCTGCTGGAACACCCTGGCAGGTAGTATGTGATCTATACAGTGGATATCTTTGGTTTCTTTTGCTTAACGCAAAAAGTCATATTTCACTAGAAAAAAATATCATCTTATCATCTATCTGGGAAATCTAAGACTGATGTTTTAGAAAAAACTTTGGGGTGACATCTTTTTAAGTAAAGCTTTGTCTTGCCACAGGAGGTCACTCTTGGGTAGTCTTTGAAGCTTAATTGAACTGATGAGGAACATAGACCAATAAGAAAGAAGCAACCCTATAGTAAATATATATACACACGTGTGTGTGTGTGTGTGTGTGTGTGTGTGTGTGTGTGTGTGTGTAGCAGCTAACTATAAAGTGATGTGGGAAGTGAATGAAACTGGTTTCTTAATATATAAACTTTTTCTTATTATGCTCTTTGCTCATATGCTATAAAAATTTAAGAGCTGGAAAGAAAAAATTATATATAACTGTCTTATAACATTAGGGACACCAGTAGGAAAAATTTGGTGTATTAGATGTCCTGAGAAGTCATATTCACACACAAAGAGAAAAGAGTGGAAACCAAAATCACACATAGGGACCTGGCAATAGTAGTGAAATGGCTTAGCAGATCAAGATGCTTGCGACACAAGCCTAATGACCCGAGTTCAATCCCCAGAATCCACCACTTACAAGAGTTGTCCTCTGACTTCCATGGGCATAGAGTGGTCTGGGCATCCTGCACTCACACCCCCATTCTACTAATAAATAACATTTAAATCATAATGTGTAGATGGAGAGATTGCTCAGTGAGCAGAGTGCTCGCTGTCTAAGCATGTTGCCCTGAATCTGTACCCCCAGCATCAACAGAAATGCTTAGGTGTGGCAGTGTGTGTCTCTAACACCAATGAGGCAGAGACACACAGATTCCAAGGCTTTGCTGGTCAGGCGGTCTAACCAAAGCAGTGAACTCACTCCAGGTTCAGTGGGAGACCCTATGTGCAGTCATAATGTGGAGAGTGACAGAGGAAGACACCCAGCACCAACCTCTGACCTCCCCACAGCCATGCACCAATCAAACCTAATGTCTATTTTCTTCCCATCTAAGATTTCTGGGATACCTCACTTCTGAGAAGCACATGTTAGTCTCCAGTGTGTATATGGAATTAGGTCCATGCAGCTGTCTCAGGAAATGGTAATTTTACAGTGACCCAGGGGATTGGTGGCCAGAATCTATCCCTTTCTCTTATGCTACATGAACCAGCAAGTAACTGATGTGGCCGGAGCTTTTACCCAGGTCAGATGTCCAAGCGCCTCAGTGCCAAGAGCCACATAGTTCATCTTTCTTTCCCTGGCCTCTGTGCCTTTGTACATGCCTGTTTGCAGGGGGATTATGATCTTCAGCCTCGACTTCATGGACTTAGAACCTGAGCCACAAATGGTAGTGTCTCCCATTGCAGTGCTGCAGACCAGGGCCCTTCCCGTTCCTCAAAATAAATACGAATTCTTTGGTATCTACCTTTTACATAATCTGCCCAAGTACCTTTTTTTGAAAAACAAAAACAAAAATGCTGTCTGATGTTCTAAGAGACCTCCTTTCCCTAATCCAAGTTTAAAAGGTTTAACATGAAATTGGCATCTATGTAGTATATACTTGAAGATGATTATGGGGCAAAATTTTTTTTGCCTGCCTTCAAATTACAGGTTTCTTCTTTCAATTAACTGTTAAAGCAAGGAAGCTGTTGGTAGACAGACACCTTCAGAAGGAAGGATGTCTGCTCGAATGACTAGAGTTTTGACTCCTACTGTGGATTTTTAGAGTTGAGCTTTCAGGTTGTATAGTTTGAACATATCTTCATGCTGCCTTCACTGCGGAAGTACAATTTTGGTGTCTGTAGACTCATAGCCTGACTTCATGGTGGATGCTGAGAATTTGACTGCTAATCCGACAGCTGTTCCTTTCTATGGGACCTCTTTCATCTCTTTTAAGATGTCTGGTCTTCTGTTCATGAAATTGCTTGGGAATTCTTTCATTGCATTTAGTGGTCAAAGTAGCATGTCTTCTAGTCATTCTGGAAAATTCTCAGGCATTGTTTTTTATTTTTTTTAAGTGGTGTGTGTGTGTGTGTGTGTGTGTGTGTGTGTGTGTGTGTGTGTGGCCAGAGGTCAGCCTTGGGTGTCATTCTGTAGCAGCTATCTGCTTGTTTTTTGTTTTGTTTTGTTTTGAGATGGGCTTTTTCACTCTGACCTGGAGTTCCCAGATAGTCAACCTGGCTGGCCAGTGAGTGCCAGGGATCCTCCTATCTCTACATCCTCCAGAACTGGAATAAGAAGCACACATGACCACATCCAACTTTTAGGCAGATGCTGGGGCTTCAACTCGGGTCTCTGTGTATACCTGGCAAGTGCTTTACCAGCTATGACATCCCTCTGGTCTCTTTTTTTTCTCTTGACAGACTACAGCTACTCCTGCCATATTGTCACTCTGCCATTCGTGACTTTGAGCTCGTGAACTTTCTCTTTCTCTTTTTGTGTTACATTCTGAACTATAACTTCATCTCATCTTTAATCTACTCTATATTAGATATTTTCATTTTGTTAGCCACTGTGTTTTAAATTTCAATAAAGTTTAAATGTATTTTCTATTTCTCAACTTTCTATTTTCTCAAGTCTTGATTGAACATTCTTCATTACCCTTTTATTATTATCCAGGTATCCATTTTATTTCTTTAAAACATGAAACAATTCCTTTAGCCTTTTTTTCAACTAATTCCAGTGGTTCATTCTTTGGACTTAATGTTTCATTTACAACTGTTTCTGGCTTCCAGTTTGGGTGTCTTATTATCCTTGGATGTCTTATGTCCACTTTTTTTTTTTTATCAGAAAAGTTTCTTTGTAATCCCTTGGAGAACTATCCCAAATTATCACTTTAATTTCAACTCTCTGCTTGAGGGTTTTTGCTACATAATAATGGGAACTGAAATAAGCAACCATCAGGATAGTGGAAATGTGGTATGTTCTAGTGGAGATAGTGGAATGTTCTAGAAAAAACTGTCCTTCACCCAGAATTAGAAACAAGGCAGGGTAAATATCCTTCCCATTGACTGGGGTAGCAGGACAGGATTTATTGGTTGCTATTCTGGATGGAATATTAAAAAGATATCTTCAATCCCCCTGCTTCCTAAGTTGGGGTCTATTTGTTTTAGTACCTCCATTTTTAATGTGAATTGTCTTGTGACTGATTATTATTTTAAAATTATAATAGGAGGACCTTTATCACATTGTATTTATGCATTGTTTTAAAAGAAGTTTCATCATCAAAGTGTGTTTTTCACAGACGAATCCAAAATCCCGTGACCTCATTCACTGTTCCTGTCTTCCCTTTCTCTTTCTCTTGTGTACTCATGTTCTCCTGAGTTAGCAACAATGAACAACCATGTTGGATGGGAGAGGAAGTAGATTTAGGCAGGCATGGCCACCCTTCTGACATTATAAAACCTATTGTCATGTAGAAAGTTTACACCTGAGCATCTTGCAATTGCAGTTTATTTTTAAATCGTGTTTTTTATTGTTTGCCAATTCTATACGTGCATATGTGTTTTGATCAATCCTCACTCCCGTCACCTCCAATTCCTGCCCTATTTCCTCCACCACATTCTCCTCCCAACTTCATGTGCTCTATTAAAAAAATATCTCAAGTTGGAGAGATGGCTTCGATGTTAAGAACACTGGTTACTGTTCTAGAGGACCCAGGTTCTTTTCCCAGCACCCACACGGTAATTCACAACCATCTATAACAGTGTAAGGAGATACAGCACCCTCTCCTGGACTCCATAGGCACTGGATACACACGGTACATCAGGCAAACATCCATATGTATAAAACAAAAATCAATAAGTCTTCTTTTTAAATCTCGGGTTTTGAGCAAGTCCACAATTTTGTGTTGGGCCATATTCATCGTTGTCCTTGGCAGCATGCAGCCTACCAACTTGAGGTTGAGCACAGTTGGACAGGGTCTCATTTTATGAAGCCCTTCCTCAGAAGCCTACAAATCGCCTGAATATGCTAACAAAGCCTTCTGTCCCGACCTTGGCTCCAGAAACCAAGCAAATAATTAAGTGCTTGTCTTAAGTTTTGCCTGTGAGTTTTAAATGGACTCCCAGCTCCTAACAAATTGACTAGCAGTTTCTTAACCAGCAGTCTTATCCAGGTGCCAGGGGGCTCTGACATTCATGACAAGCAACCGCAGAGGCAGACTTCAGCAGCAGCACGCTTTCCCACGTGGACTGCGTGGTGTATAATCTCGACTATGCTTGCCGTCACCAGTGTGACCTAACGCTTTGCATTATCTTAAGGGTGGCTGCTTGCTGAGTTCCTCAAATATGTTTTACAAATACAGATTTTATTTTTTCCCGTGCTGGCTATGGAACTTGGGGGGCTCACATATGCTAGTGAACAGTCTATGGCAGGGTTTCTCACTGAGGGCCTGCCTGGAGTGCACAAAATAGGCTAGCATGACTGGCCAACAAGACCCAGGGATCTGCACATTTCTGCCTCCCAAAAGCTAAGCTCACAAGCATGAGTTCTAGGAATTGAACTGGGGTTCTTAATTCTTCCAAGGCAAACAATTTACAGTTGAGCTATTTCCCCAGCCGAGGGCCCAGCTGTAAATCCCTAGGTGGGCTGTGTTGCCATGTTCGTTTCCGTCTTTCCACAGGGTTACATCAATTGCGGACAGGCTGAATGTGGAATTTGCTTTGATTCACAAAGAGAGAAAGAAAGCAAATGAAGTGGACCGGATGGTTCTGGTGGGCGATGTGAAGGACCGTGTGGCTATCCTGGTCGACGACATGGCTGACACTTGCGGTACCATCTGCCATGCTGCCGATAAGTACGTGGGTTGGTTCAGCAAAGACAAGAAAACATCTCCTTCACAAAAATACATATAAAATTGTATTTTATTTGTTTATTTGTGTGTGTGTTTACACGTATGCATGCTTGTACGCACGAGTCGAGGAGGTATGCATGCTATGGTCCAGTCGTGGAGGTCAGAAGACAATCTTTGTGAGTCAGTTCTCCCTTTCCACTATGAGTCACAGGGATTGAACTCAGCTTGTCCGGCTTGGTGGCAAATGCATTTACCCATGAGGCATGTAATATTTGAAACTGAGCCTATGTTTCTTAATTGTTGCCGATGACTTGGCAGTAGAGTTTTAAGCCTCGGGAGACTCTGGGCTCATTTTTTTCTCAGTCCTCTTTTCCCCCTGTAAGAAAAACAAACACCACCAGCAACAAACATCCATGGGCATTTTTATTTTCTAGATTGGACTTGCAGGTCATTTTTGTAAAGGATCAGAGAATGTGCTTCCCTAGAAATCAGGTCCAGCAAGACAGAGGTTTTATTTGCTTGTTTGTACCGTTTCTGCTTTCAGCTCAACCTTTGGGCTAGTCTCATTGCTCATGGGGCTTTCCAAAGGCTGTGCGTGGCAGAGTGGGAGCCCCCCAACTCCTTTGCCACACATGGCTGTGGAATACAATTTGAGACGCTTGATTACATGTCACATGTATTTTGCACTATTGGTTAAAATCAGTGGTTCTCAGCACAGGACAGTTTTCCCCTAAAGATATCATTGCTTGTCACAATTAAACACATGGGAATGTTGGTAGTGTATGAATCAGGGGTGCTACTGAACTTTCCCATGATGGACAAGATGGCCACCATGACAAGAATTATATAGCTCCAAATGCCAGGGCTGATGATCCTTGATTTAATGGAACTCAGAGCATTTTACTAACATACACAATTAAAAGATCATAGTATGGCCAAATAAATGCAAATGGATTTTTGTTTCATTTTTATAGGGTAGACTTTTCACTAATAAATTTGAGACAATATACAGTGTTTTAAGAATATTGGAGTATTTTTGGACACTTAATTCTTTTGAGACAGGACTTTGCTCGGTAGCTCTGGCTTGTTTTTAACTCACAGTCTTCCTGTCTTGGCCTCTCTAGTGTTAGGGTTACAGGGATGCAATGCCACTAGGAACTTTTTTTCTTCTGTTTTGCAGGTTGCTCTCAGCTGGTGCCACCAAAGTTTATGCTATCCTTACCCACGGAATCTTCTCTGGGCCAGCTATTTCCAGAATAAATAATGCTGCCTTTGAAGCCGTTGTTGTCACCAACACAATCCCACAAGAGGACAAAATGAAACACTGCTCCAAGATTCAGGTACTGTCTACCCTCCAGGCAGAACCATGCAGCAAGGTACCTGCTTCAGACCCTTAAAATAGTAGCCAGCTTTCTGTTTGCTAAGACAGAGGCTAAGAGAGACTGAAGCTTCTCATCACAGCGGGCTAGCCAGTCATATTAGATCCCTGAGAAAGGCGAGGATCAAGAGGTCAATGGTCACTACTTGGAAATAGCAAAGAAAAAGGAAGGAAGGAAGGAAGGAAGGAAGGAAGGAAGGAAGGAAGGAAGGAAGGAAGGAAGGAAGGAAGGAAGGAAGGAAGGAAGGAAGGAAGGAAGGAAGGAAGGAAGGAAGGAAGGAAGGAAGGAAGGAAGGAAGGAAGGAAGGAAGGAAGGAAGGAAGGAAGGAAGGAAGGAAGGAAGGAAGGAAGGAAGGAAGGAAGGAAGGAAGGAAGGAAGGAAGGAAGGAAGGAAGGAAGGAAGGAAGGAAGGAAGGAAGGAAGGAAGGAAGGAAGGAAGGAAGGAAGGAAGGAAGGAAGGAAGGAAGGAAGGAAGGAAGGAAGGAAGGAAGGAAGGAAGGAAGGAAGGAAGGAAGGAAGGAAGGAAGGAAGGAAGGAAGGAAGGAAGGAAGGAAGGAAGGAAGGAAGGAAGGAAGGAAGGAAGGAAGGAAGGAAGGAAGGAAGGAAGGAAGGAAGGAAGGAAGGAAGGAAGGAAGGAAGGAAGAAGGAAGGAAGGAAGGAAGGAAGGAAGGAAGGAAGGAAGGAAGGAAGGAAGGAAGGAAGGAAGGAAGGAAGGAAGGAAGGAAGGAAGGAAGGAAGGAAGGAAAGAAATGGAAGAGAGAAAAAGAGACCGGGGCTGCAATGCTGTAGGTGGAGTGCTTACATAGCATGGCTGAGTCTAGGGGTTCCAGCCCCAGCACCCAATACAGTAGTCATGGTGGCACTTACCTGTAATCCCTGTGCTCGAGAAGGTAGGTGCAAGAAGATCAAGTACTCGTGGTCATCTTCAAATTCAAAGCCATCCTAAAAGGGATGAGACAGTATCTCAAACAAGGATTTTAACCGGAAACGGGAAACGATCTATGTATGGTACTTGGAAGGTAGAAGCAGGAGTACTGCGAGGAGACTACCCCAAGCTGCATGCAATCTTGTCTCACAAACCAACAAAAAAGTAACAAATAGCACCCATGAGATGGCTCAGTAGGTAGAAGGAGAGAAACAGAAGAAGTAGCAAACAAAGAGAATCACAATATAAAACAGGAAGAGCAATGAGGAAGTAGCTTGATGTAGCACTTGCCTGGACTGCCCAACCCTGAACAACAAGGTTAAACATAGAATGACTTTGTAGCATGCGTCATTCCTACATATATAGTCCACTAAAAATGGGGTGGGGGAGGCAGCAGGCTATACTAAGTATATTTGGGGAACTACTTTTTCAGGTCCCTTCTGACTATATATATGCCCATAGGTACCAGACAAAAGTTGTTATTTGAACACAAGGAGATAAGCTTGAAAATTGTCAGAGTAGTGGGTCCCTTACATTTTTATGTGTGATTAGTGTAGTGTAGTAACTGCGGCCCAAAGGCCAAATCTAGCCTACCTCTGTATTTTAAATAAAGTTTTATTGACACATACTCATGTTTCATTCCTGTGTTGCCCATGACTGCCTTTGCACCACAATGCAGAATTGAGTGTTTGGTACACAGATAACCCCAAACTCTTAACCTTCTAATATTTTTCAGGAAAAGTAGTTTGCTGACCCCCCAAGTTAAAATGATCATGGTTGTGCTTTTATCATGACAGACACTCAATGTTTTTAGCAATTCTTGGGGTCAGGGAGATGGCTCAGTAGGTAAGCACTTACTGCACAAATCTGGAGATCTGAGCTCTATCCCTGGTACCCACTCAAAGGTGGATGGAGAAAAGCTGACTCCACAAAGTTGTCTTCTGACCTCCACGTGCATGTCATGGCACATGTGTGCTAACCCCCCCATACACACTCACACATGCACACACTGATAATAATAATAACAACAGCAACAGATGAAAGAGTTCTAAAAATCATATTGGGCTGGCATTCCAAATTGAAGTATAGTCAAGTAGAAAGATAGGTAGTGTAAGATTTGCTTTATAATATTTTATGAAAAACATTGCCATGTTTTAAAAATTGGTACTGGGATTATAGTAAAGACTTAAGAAATAAAATGAAAGTTGCAACTTTAAAAAATTATAGCCACTATCTTTTCTAACTAGGAAAAAACCTCTCCCGATGAAGAAAGAAAACTAGTTTGTAAATAACCAGTGTCCCAAAAAGGGACCATCTGTGGGTAACAGCAGCCCTGAGTATCAATACTGAAAATCTTCCCAGGAACTGAGAGTAGTCACCTCCACTGGCTGTGATGTCTTTAAAGCTAAACTCTACAAACAACTGAAGATTTTTCAGTGTGGACACTCCCAAAGAAATGGCCAGAGGAGGTTTAACCAAAGCATACCACATGGGTGCTGGAGAAAACATTCTTAGGCTTTCTGCCTTTTCAGCTTTTAAAGAAATCGAACTCACTCCTGCCTTTTGTGTTTTGTGTTTTCTCCTTGCTATTCAGGTGATTGATATTTCAATGATCCTGGCCGAGGCCATTCGAAGAACCCACAATGGGGAGTCTGTGTCCTACTTGTTCAGCCACGTACCACTGTAGTCCCATGGGATACGGAAGGTGGAGCAAGCCTCCTCCTGCGTCTCACTGTCTTTGTCTGCCTGCTGTTTTAGCGTTAGGACTCAGCAATTCTAGGATGATCACTGGCAAAAGCATCCGATCTATGTACACTCTAAGATTCCTTGTCTCCCTTTCTAATGTTCAAGACTACTGCTTTTCTGTTTTGTGGGGGCAGGGGAAGGTGGTGGTTATTTGGTCTTTAAGTGAACCATTGTCGATGAGAACTAGTCTTTTCCCTCATTCTTTTTTAGGACGTTGGGGCAGCGATTTTTAAGCCTAAAATCCTATGGTGGAAATTTGTCCTATATATATTTTCAGGTTGCCAAAGGTGACTTCAAATGAAAGCCTTCTGTGTAAATAGATCCTGATAATGCCTGTGGACATTAGGGTACAATCCTAAATACCCTTTCCTTTGGAGGGAACCTCAGAAAATTTATACTGTCATGCATTTTGAATACTTTTTTGCTTTTTAGGAAAACCTGATAGCTGGGTTTATTTTATTATTGCCCTTAATTGGGATTGGATTTTATTGAGCCTAAGATGGTCACTGACATATTGACTTTTCTTAGTAAACATTATACGTATTGAAGACAATATAAGGCTCTATCACTTTTAATTTTCACTTTGAGCATATGTCACAACCGTCAACTTACCTGAAACTCCCAAAATTATGATGAGGATATAGTCAGTGAGTTCATGATCACATCGATGTGCACCTTTGTTTATCCCAGAGGAATTATTCTTTATGATGCACCTCATGTCCTGTCTATCATCTTATTCCCAGACGTCGTCATTTTAGCGCTAGCCTATACTTTGCATTTTTCACGATAATTTCTTGGCATAGTTATCCACCAAAAGAAAAACTTCTGGAAATCCCCTCACATTTTTTAGACTGATTATTATTTTTGCTTTTCACATACATAAAACAGGGAAGTTTTAAGAGTGCCACCAAATGTATTTATTCAAGCACTGTTTAGTGAGCTTGGATGAAGTGTTCTTTGGCCTTTGTAAGCAGAAGTACTAAATCTCTAATTACTGATTACCATCTCTAAGGCTGTAAAATGTAGAGATAAGAGAGGCCTGAAAAACAATGGATACAAGAGTAAATAGTTGTTCCCTTAGGAGCATCTTTAAAAACTGGTCCAAATAGCATCGTGAAGGAGAATTTCACTGAGGGTTGCGTTCTTGACAAAATTCTCTTTTAGCGATGTGTGGAGGCTCATACCTTTAAACTGAAGCAGGAAGATTAACACAAGTTTGAGGCCAGCCTCGGCTACATAGTGAGTGCCAGCTCAACCTGGGCTAGACTTGAGCCCATGTGTTAGGAAATAAAAACAAACAAAAAGGCAGTCCCCTGTAGCATCATTTAAAGTGGCAGAGGTCACCCATTGACTGACTGATTATATGTATATTGGCAGACAACCTGCCAAATTTCCCTGCCCCCAAAGAAGATAATTTGCTTGAGTACCTAAAGATTCAGAATGCTAAACAATCTCTCCCCCTTGGTAAATCTTAAAACTGGTAGATAAATTTCTAGCCCTAAATTTTGAGGGTAGAAAAATCCTAGCCATCTGAGTAACACACTGGGCCAGCACTCTAGAATATCAAACTCCAGGGCAGCAGAAGTCAAATCAATGTTAAAAGTATCATTTATGTTAATACGGAGACTGGCATTTTGACAATACCTTATTTGTAACTGTTTAGAAGAAAGTGGTCCCATCACCTGGGATACTCAGCTCTGTGATACATACTGTCTGTAAAGTCTTGGCTAGACAAGTGTTAAAGTCCTGTTTGACGCTATGCAATTGTTAGTTTTGATAAGTATGTGATGTCTGTATTTCGTGGGGGTTTATGCCTGTGCTGAATGAAGACATTCCAGTGCACATCCACATGGAGACAGCTTAATGTATGTGTGCACATGTCTCAAAGCGTTGGCATGACAAAAGTCCATTGGTCATCATTTTATCTAAGATATTCAAAGCTTAAGGATGTATTCAGTAGATTTTACAATAATGATTGTCAAACGTAAATCCCCTATAGCCAAACCTGCGTGGCTGACCTCGGAAATGAGAACGGATGTTTTCTGGCTTTACTTGGCCCCAAGTTAGTGTATCCAGAGAACCACTGAATACACTGAGGAGCTGATTAGACTGGAATGAGCCTTATACAGTGGAGACAGAGACTTTGAATAGTTGACAGTTTCAGTTGGACCAAAGTGACAAAGGCTGTTTCCTGAGCAGTCTAAACCCAGGACGCTCCTGATTCTTGCTGTTTGTGGTAAGGAAACGTAAGGGGAAAATCACCAACAGATCAGCTTCGTCTGGCTCTATGGAAAGGGCCAAAAGGGGGAGCCAGAAAAACAGGAATATACCAAAGTTGTTTAGCCTCCAGCTAAAATTTTCCTCCTCACCTGGTAGATGTTCATAGGCTAACTTTCCTTCGTGAGCTACAATGTCGACGACTAAGTTCAGGAATACATTCTTTGCAGTGCTTGCTCTGGTGTTAGAGACTAGAGAATCTTGAGATCCTGTGACGTTTACTAAGACATTTCAATAAAATCCTGCTGACTACTTGGTTTCATAGTTTGTGTCATTATTTTGGAATCATTTGCTTTTTGAGGAAGTGACCTGTTGATGAAGTCACTGAAAATGTTTGTTACCATGTTACTAAGACCCGGTTTGCAAAACTAAAGGAAAGCCAGAAGTTAATTAAATGTACTCCTCGCCATTTTGACGCCTCTGCCGTGTGAAGGCCTCATAGTGATCATTCTACATAGTAAATCTCCAATTGAAGACCAAGATTGCTGAGATGGGATGGGAGGTGCCACCAAGCAACCAGAGTTCAATCCCTGGGGCTCGCATGGTAGAAGGAGAGAATTGTCCACTGATCACCACATGCAAACTGTGGCATGCAGACGTCCATCTCCCCTCCCACACACACACACACACACAGACCCATAAATCACTATAGCGTGTTCTGCATCTAAGCAGTGAAATTCAGTAGTATCCATCTGAATTTGGATCAAGTGGTCTAAACAAGTACAAGCTACATAGAAGTTGTTCGTGTGCGTTGGGTATAAGACAGGAAGAAGCGAGATAGTCATGAGTTCAGCCTTAAGGGGGGCACAACCTCCTTGCCCCCTATTGTGAAAAGAGTAAGTACATGTTCTTTGCACATGCCTGTCTGAGTCACAGGGAGCACTGGGGCAAGAGCAAGTAGATGCATGTGGGAATCGCTCTAAAGTGGGCTCCAGAAATAGCACCTAGGGATGACTGCCTCATAGCCATCGAGATGCTGCTCCACTGGGGTCTGGTAGAAGCTGGTTGTGCCCCAGCCCTCCACCACAGGCCCATCAAAAGTAGAGTTGAAAGTGGTGCCCAGTTGAGTTCTGTGACCGAAAACTAAGCCAGCTGAATTCATTTTCAATTTTAAAAGCATGATAAAATGGGAAATGAGAATGCCCCAAAATGGAAAGCAGTGGGAAGTGCCCTCATTCGGGAGCGTGGCAATCCTGACATACTGTAAGCACATTGTGACCTCACCATAAATTCCTGCACTTCTGCGAGACTTAAATGTCTCTGCAAAACTCATGTAAGAGAAGATGGTTACTGTACCAGACCTTTTCTTTTCGGCCACCAACGAGCTCCCAAATTATGACATGAAGATTTATTATTAGTTTTAAATGCTTGGCCTTAGCTCTTATTTTACTGTTTCTTTTTATCTACTTTTGTCTCGGGACTTTTTACTTTTTTCCCTTCTCTGTATCTCTTACTTTCCTGCTGTCTTCATGTCTGGTTGGTGGCTGCCTGACTTCTGGTCCCAGGCATGTCGCTTTCTCCCTCTCTTCTCCTTTCTTTTTTTTTTCTTTCTCTGCCTAAATTTATCCTGTTCTCTTTGCCCAGCAGCCCCGCCTATCACTCACTCTCTCGCCTAGCTATTGACCATTCAGCTCTTAGGCAGGCAAGGTGGAATAGATGCAGCTCATCTTTATATAATTAAGCAGATGCAGCAGAAACAAATGTAACACACCTTTACATAGTTAAGGTAATAGTCCACAGCATAAACAGAAGTAACATATCTTTGCCTAGTTAAAATAATATTCCACAACAGGTTGCCAGCTGCAGCAATTTTATCATTCTACATTTACCTGAAATAGTTGGGCTCATTGCTGACTATGGTTCCAATTAGGCAATGATAGAAAGTTGCTTCTCAAATAAATAAACGGAAAAAAAAAACAAAAAAAAAGAAAGAAAGTTGCTTCTTCATCTTCCTCAATTAAACTCACTTTAGTTTGCCTAGGACTTTTTCTCAGTCTTAGAACTGGAAGTCTGAGCAGGGCAGTGGCGGTGCATGTCTTGAATCCCAGCACTTGTGGAGGGGAGGGCAGAGGCAGACAAATCTCTGTGAGTTCGCAAAAAAAAAAAAAAAAAAAAAAAAAACAAAACAAAAAACAAAAAAAAAAGGGATGAAGAGGGAGGGGAGAGGTAGGGAAGGGAGCAGATAAAAATCAATAAGAAAAAAAAAGAAAAAGAAGTGGGAATATGTTATCTCTGGAAACTTCAATCCTGAGCAACCAGGAACAACCATAGTTCCTTCTAAAGCCAGAAATGATGGAGTCCCAGTGCTGTTTTTCAGAGATGGAAGTACATGTAACTGATGTAGATGGAAGCTGGGGGGATTTGAAAGTGGCTCGGGGCATTGGTTGGAGGAGAACATGTGTGCACAGCACATGCACTAGGCTGTCAGATGCACAGTTACAAGGGGTGTGAGTGTGTACGTGCATGACTCAAAGTGAAGCAGAAGCCTGAGGAGAGCAAACTGTCTCCTATGTATGCACGGCTCAGTAGTAGGCATTTGTAGTGGTTTGAATGAGAACAGCCCCCAAAGACTTACATATTTGAAAGTTTGGTCCCCTGTTGGAAGAGGTGTGTCACTGGGGGTGGGCTGATATTCTCAGTTAGCTTGTCTTCTCTCTCTCTCTCTCTCTCTCTCTCTCTCTCTCTCTCTCTCTCTCTCTCTCTCTCTCTCTCTCTCTCCCCCCCCCTACTAGTCCATGTTAGCTTGTTCTCACCCACCCCCGCCTTCTTAAGTCACTTCTTCTTAAGTCACCTTGCTCATGATGTCTCGTCACAGTAATAAAACAGTAACCAAGACAGCACTCAGTGATCGTATTTTTAAAAAAAAATTCCAAGACAAGAAATGTAATAAATGATCAATATTAGCAATGACTAAAAGGGTGATTTATATCCAAACAAATACTTGTTCTAGAACTTTTTCTTTCTTAGCAGATTATACTTTTTAATGCCATTTGATATTCTAAAAGTACAGACTGTTTAGTTAGTAGGTGTTTGCCTAACATGCACAAAGCCCTGGGTTCGAGCACTTTAACCACACAATCAAGTGCAATGGGACATGGAAAATGCTTGTAACCACAGCACTTAGGAGGCTAGTAAGAAGGTTAAGTTCAAGGTCATTTTTTGTTAAATAGTAAGTTTGAGGTAAGCCTGTACTACATGAAATCCTGTCTCAAAAAAAAAAAATCTAATGCCACGGTATTTAGAACTGTAGCATTCTTTAAAAGAAAAAAAAATCTACACAGCCAGTTTCAGGACAGCCAGGGTTGCAAAGAAAGACCCAGTCTCCAAAAAATAAAAAAAAAAATAAAAATAAAAAAGTGAAATTTTCTGTGTATGTGTGAGTGCTTGCAGATATGTCTGTGTATCCATTGCCTAGTGGCCTTGGAGGGCAGAAGAGCTTCTGAGAACCCCTGGAACTGGAGTTAGGGAGCAGTTCTGAACTGCTTGATATGGGTGCTGAAAACCACACCCAGATCTTCAGCAAGTGCTCTTAACTGCTGAGCAATCTGCCCAGTCCCTCTGCAGTATTCTTTCGTTTTATTATTGTTTTCTGGGAAAAGGTCTCACTATATAGCCCAGGCTGGGTGTGAACTAGTGAACTTCCTACCCCTGCCTTCTGAGGCTGAGATTGCCTGCACCTGCATTCACTCCAATGCCCAGCTGAGGCTTCATGATGTTTGCAATCCAACATCTTTCCAAGAATCAAAAACAACCAATGTTGCTCTGCTGATTCACAAGGATATTGTAGAACTCCCAAGAGATGGGTTATTACTTCATGTCTCCTAATGGGCTGTGCTTCTCAGTATTCATGTCGTAAAACACTAGCAAGAATGAAGCAAGCAAAGACTTAGTATGTGCTCCTATACCAGACCCGGTTTCTCTGGAAATTCTTGCTTTTCGAATCTAGCCACTATAAAAAGTTGAGTTTATCGTGTTTCCTGTCAATGCTTAATTCCGTTCAAGGAAACTGCCCTATTATGGGCTGAGAATAAGGTGGGCCAAATCTCTCCTGCTCAAGGCCCTATAATTTTGACCTGAGATGAGACAGCCTAGTCATGTGAACTAATGCTAGGACATTAAGGGAAAAAGTGAGGCTGCAGGCATGGTATGTACTTAGACTCCCTGCACTGAGGACACGGGGAGGCTCTAGAACGTGAGCTTTACTACAGAGAAAAAACTTTGCCTTAGCGAAAGAAGGATGACTGGCAGGGCTTAAGTGTCACTGTGAACTTTCAGTCACTCGCTACTCACTTGCCTAGTCTATTATTCTATTTTACTAGGAATTGCTTCTCTCTAAGTCTTCATCCTTTTGATGAAATAGACACAAGTATTGGTTACATGATATTCTGACTATCCATCATGCTGCTAAGTTATAGGCTTTAACTTGGTAAGTTTTATAAGCCAGACTTTAATGAAAGGTGGAAAGTAACATGTACTGTGGGATACACACACACACACACACACACACACACACACACACACACACACAGTGGATAGAACTGTAACTAGACAACTCATTTCCATCACTTCATCTCAAGTGCTCAGTGGTTTCCAGCTTGTGTCTCGGTAACTGCTACCCAGAGGTACACATGCCCCTGCCTTCACATCCCAACATTTCTTCACATCCCTTCTCCTTTAAAGGCCCAGTAGAGAACGAGTTTGATTCAATTTTATGTATCCATCTCTTCATCCTCTAAATACTTATATACATAGTAACAGGTGCCGAGTGCTTCAGGAATACATACGATGTCATCTTCGATCCTGTAGTTTCCTGGGAGGCAAAGATGATAGATGACGAAATGCCATATAGTAACAAATGCGACGAAGATTTTCACTAGAGAAAGTTTCTTGACTGCTGGTATATTTATTAAAAAAAAAAAAAAAGAAAGTACACTCCCAGAGAGACTAAGTTGAGGCTCTGGATTTTCTGGCTATATTCCAGAAGAATCCCTTCCATTCGTGCAAGAAAGCCATTAAGTGACTAGACTGTTCCGGTGGTCCTTTCTTCCTGACACCTTCAAGCCACATAAAAAATGCCTTCTAAATAAGCGCATCCTAAGTTAACAACCGAGTTTGCTCTGCGAATGTTGAACGATGCGCCCTGGAACACTCCAAGCACTCCATTCTCCCGTTAGACTGAGGACCTGTAGGAAGAACACTTCAACACGCCTACTCAAGCACTTCTCTAAGTAACCTTTTTGAGGAGGAACGGT